TGAAGAGTTCCGGCTTGGAGCATGTGGAGCTGCCTTTGGAGCTGAGCAGCGGCAGCACAACCACGAGGCAATCCTCCCTTGTGAATGGGGGAGAGGAGGCCAATGATGCAGAGGAAGAAGAGGAGGAGGTGCAGCAAGCGAGCGAGCGTGCACCGTCACTCCCTTCCCGTACTATGAGTGCTCCACGGATTCGAGCCACACCGCAGCAACACCAAGGCCTTCAAGTCCCTGCAGCTGAGGAGGAAGGAAGGGGGAAGAGGAGAGCTCAACCCCCTAATAGGCTGACTTATGATGCACTGGGAAAGCAGGGCAAGACAGCCCTGGCTGGAGCGGCAATGATGGTCGGAGACGACGAGGAGAGTGACTACGAGGAGTGTGCCTTCGCGTTCTTCTGTCCGGTGGAGATGCCGGGAGAACCAGCAACTCTCAAGGAGGCTTTGGAGAGTAGTGATGCTGAGGAGTGGAAGAAGGCCATGGAGAGTGAGCTGAAGAGCATCGAGGAGAATGACACATTCGAATTGGTGGAGCTACCGGAGGGGCGTACGGCGATAACGTCCAAGTGGCTCTTCAAAATCAAGTCGGATGCCGACGGCAAGATCGATCGCTACAAGTCTAGGCTTGTAGCCAAGGGGTACCAGCAGAAGGAGAAGGTGGACTTTAAGGAGCTGTTTGCCCGTGTGGTGAAGCCGACGACGCTGCGAACCCTATTCGCGGGAGCCGCCATCAAAGGATGGGTAGTAAAACAAATGGACATCGTAACGGCATTCCTTAACGGCATCCTTGAGGAGGAGATTTTTATGGCACAGCCAGAGGGTTTTGATGATGGTAGTGGCAGAGTGTGGAAGCTGAAGAAGGCCCTCTATGGGCTGAAGCAGGCCCCTAGGCAATGGTACATGAAGCTGCACGAAGTGTTGGAGGAGATCGGCTTCACTCCCTCAACGGCCGATCACTCCTTGTTCATGCTTGGCGAGGGGGAGCAGAGGAGCTTCATGGTGGTTTATGTGGATGACATTCTCATATTCTCACCCTCCTCTGACCTTGTGAAGGAGGTGATGCTGAAGCTGCATGACAAGTTCAAGTGCAAGTCCCTTGGTGACGTGAACTTCTACCTTGGGCTCCACATCGAACGAGACGTGGAGAAGCGGAGCATGCGAGTGCACCAACGGAAGTACCTGGAGGCATTGGCCGCCAACTTCGGCCAGAGTGAAGGTCATGTGGCTACTCCCTTTCCCTCTGGGTTCAAGTGTGTGAAGGGGCCAGAGGAGGAGAGCGTTGGAGAAGAAGAGAGGCGCCGTTTTCACTCGTTGGTGGGCAGCCTCATGTATGCGGCGGTAAACACCCGACCGGACGTCGCGTTTGCTACCGGGCAGCTGGCTAGGGTTGTGCAATGCCCTAATGAGGAGCAGGTAGCAGCTGGAATGAGGGTGGCCAAGTATCTTGGCCAAACACCGACCGTTGGGCTGCAATACTCGGCGGCGGCACAAAGGCGCCAAAAGGGCGCGGATGGTGTTGAGCCCGGGCGTTTGTTCCTCACCGCCTACTCGGATGCTTCATATGCATCAGAACCAGAGGACATGACAAGTGTGGGAGGCTTCATATGCTGTGTTGGTGGAGGCCCAACTGCTTAGGAGAGCAAGAAGCAGGTTGACCAAGCTTTGAGCTCGGTTGAGTCCGAGTACATGGCACTCTTCCGTGCCGTACGGGAGATTGTGTGGCAGCGTCGTTTGTTGGCTGAATTGGGGGAGGAGCAGCAAGGACCTACCCCACTCTACTGTGACAGCCAGGGTGCCATTGCTCTTGCTAAGAACCCTGTGTTGCATGGACTCACAAAGCACATGAGGGTGAAGTGGCATTGGACGAGGAGCATGGTGACCGCGGGTGAAGTTGAGTTGCGGTACGTGAAGACCACGGGGCAGCCGGCTGACATGATGACTAAGAGGCTGGTGGAGCAGCAGCATTGGAAGTGTTGCAAGCTGGCTGGGATGGCTCTGAACTGAGAGAGCAACATATCCTAAGGCCAACAATCCGAGGGGGAGTTTGTTGGTGCAACCCTACGGTTTGCACTCGGCTTGTTGTCCGTGTGCGTGCATGTGTGTGCGTATGGAATGGTATGAGGGCATGGGATAATATATATTTCATGCTTATAATTGTGTGTGAATGTTGAGTCATGATGTCGAGTGTGTGTGTCGAGTCAATAGCGAGATATCGCTAGACGCGTGTTACGCGGTCGTTTGTGTCTCACGCGCGGTTTCTATTTTGTCCTGTGTCGAACGTTCGGCGTGTCGCAGGTGTGTGCAGAAGACCCATCAAGAACCCAAGGATGAGTTTGTGATGAAGAGCCCGATCCTTTGTGTCAGGCCTCGAGTGATTTCGAAGCTCGCCAAAAGGGAGCACCTCAAGATATTGAAGATAGTTACATTACTTTGTGTAGTGTAACATTTCACTTGGTGTAGGCCCTAGTGAAGGGTAGTTTCGAGACCCTTCGTGGTTGGGGACAGTGTGGCACTGTTCCACATCACTGGACCTCGGCTCTTGGGGTTTGTAGGAGCTGGGAGTCATTCCCAACTCGTAACTCTTCCTAACTCTTCCTATCTTGTGTTCTAAGACTATAGTGGCTGCCATAGTGCCGTTCGTTCAAACCAGCGCTGTGTCGTCAATACTTGGTCAACTCGTGCGATCTAAATTGCCTATTGTAGGCGACAATAAGACGCTCCAGATCCAAGTTGAATCAAGGCATTTGAAGCTGTGACTAGAACGATATGAACGTTTGAAGCCGCTGGGCAGAAATCCGACTGTGCACTCTTTCGTTTTAGGCACATTGGAGCCTACTGTGACGATAACATGTCGCTCTCGGCCGTCACCGGAAGGAGCACATGGATGCAGCTAAGAGGGTGTTGCGCTACGTGTGCAGTACGTCAGGCATGGGGCTAGTGCTTGGAGGACGAGCCCGAGTTGTCCTCACTGGTCACGCAAACGCTTCTTGGGTTGACGACTTGGCTACGAAGCGGTCGTCACAGAGTTACACCTTCAGCCTTGGTTCCGGCTCTGTTTCGTGGCGATCTACCCGCTCGTCTTGTGTTCTCAGATCCAGTTTTGATGTTGAGATCTACGCAAGGGCCATGGCTGCACAGGAGTTACGCTGGCTCACCTACTTGCTGACCGACTTGGGAGAGGCGCCTTGTTCTCCTCCAGTTCTGTACGTCGACAACAAGGCCATGCTTGCCTTGTGTCAAGAGCACAGACTGGAGCACAGAACGAAGCACATTGCTCTGCGCTACTTACTTGCTCGAGAGTTGCAGCAGCATGGTCAGCTTTGTCTTGCTTACGTGGCCTCTCGGGCCAACACTGCTGATATCTTTACCAAGGCACTTCAGCCTTGTGATCATCAGCGTTTTTGTACTATGTTAGGTCTTGTGCTTACCTGGCCTCAGTTGCTCACCTCTTGACTTTGCTTGTACTGTGATCTATATATACTTGCACCTGCATGCTTACCATTGCTAGCTTGAGATCACTGTCTTGCTTGTTCACCTTGATTTTTAACCCTGCATGTGAAATGGCCTTGTGGCCTTGTACTTGTACTCCGAATGTATGGTGATGTCGTGATCTACCTTGAGTCTGACCTTGCCTTGTTCTCTTGCTTGTCCCCCACTTCGCCTATGCGGGTGTGTCAGAACTATATTGTAGGCTGTAGTGGGGCACTCTTTATGGGGTACAGTATTGTTAGGCTTTGCCTATACAAACCTTGGACTGTCCTGTTTTTTAGTCATTCTCGTTTCTTTCTTTGCGACAGACTCGGAGCAGTGCTTCAACTAATGCCAAAGTGCCACGCGCATGGTGGTAGAGCGCTGCATCGGCGCCTTCAAAGGCAGGTGGAGGCTCTTCGGAGGCTGCAAGGACTGCAAACTGTGGCGCGTGCTTGCAGGGGCGTCGTGTTGCGTCGTCTTGCACAACATGTGTGAAACGATGGGGGAGGTGAGGCCCTTGGTGGACCCGTTGCGTCGTCGCCGATTTCAAATGGGATTCTGTCGTGCCATGCAATCAAGCAACATTGCATGAAAGGCGGAAGAGGCTCGGTGAGGCATTGGAGTTGTCGTACCTTACTCAGCGTCGCCGCGAACCCACACCTCCTCGACCTCATCTGGGTTAGCGGTGTCTTCACTGGCCTATCCGCGATGGAACGATCCTTTGTCGCCGCCTTCGGCGGCGTTCGTTGCAGGCTGGGTGTTCGCCTCCTCGGGGACGACGTTGGGAGTCCGCGGAGCAGGGGCCGGACCCTTGTTGCGTCCGCGCGCAATTTCCGCGTCTTGCTACATCCAGGCGCGGACGAGGCCCTCTAGCTTGGTCATCGCATCCATGTTGCATCCCTTGATGGTCTCACAGACCAGCTGGGCAGCAGCCATGGTAGCTGTCTCTGCAACACGCGGGCGCTTAGAAGGAGGGGTGCTCGGCGGAAGGGGGGCTGCACACGCACAAACGGGTAGTTAACTTTCTTTAGCGACATGTGGTTGTTGTTAACTAAAACAATATTAACGATGGAAGATTTGCCAACATCACTTTAACAACCAAACATTGAAACAGAGGAGAGCATGAAGTGTGGCCTCACCCGTGAACATCGGAGTAGAGGTGCATGGAGAGGACGTTGACGATACAGAGAACCCGCACGGCACATTCACGTGTATGGCCCCGCCGCCATCCACGGCATGCGGCTCAGTGGCAGCCCTGTTGTTATGAAATAGTTCCATGTACGACCACCACGGCGGCTTACACACCGCACCCTTACTGGACGCCCTCTCCCCCTTCTTCATCTGTTTGTAGATGCTGACGAGGTTGCGCCATTGCTTCTGCACGGTGTTCACGCCACAAACCCACCCAGTGTTTTCCGTCTCGATGTGACGAACAAGGCGGGCCCAATACTGCGAGCCCTGCTTCCCTAGAAAAGGCTCGAGCTCGTCCTTCATGAACCAGCGCGCAGCAACAAGGATTGTGTTCTTCGACGGCGATCACATGATGCGCTTCACCGGGATGTGGTCGCGGGTCTTTGGAGCAAGGTGTGTTGGCTCCCCGCCCTTAGCGGTGGCCTTGACGCCAGATGCCGCCTTAGCACGACCACGGCGAGCTATCGGTGCCGCGGGCTGCGATTCCTCCGGGGCGTCGTCGTCGTCACCCTCCGCGTCGTCACCGTCCGTGTCGCCCTCCGAGTCGGACATGTCCTTGTCCTCCTCTTCTCCCGAGATCGCCTCGTCGTCAGTGCTGACGGCGTCCACGCTATAGTCGGAGTCGTCATCGTCGTCACCGTCCTTGTTAACTTCGGGGCTGCGAGATGATGCCACACAGTCCGCGTCACGGCGGCCGTGCATCGGGATGTCATAAGGGGCTTGGTAAGAGGTGTCTCCACGCGAAGGAGTTTCTCCGGGCTGCAGGCTTATGTCCCGCGGTGAGCTGCTTGTTCATCCAAGAAATATACGGGATCTCGTTGAGATCCCGCGGGCACACGTTCGCGCCTTCAGATGCGCTCTTACGCTTACGCGCCATGGCTAACAAAGGGGTAGAGATCTTGAGAGAAGGAGAAACAAGAAACGAGAAATGAAATTGACAGAAGGTGGAGAAGAAGAGATCCAGGATGGTTGCAGGACAGATGAGTTGAGAAGAGGAGTGGTTCCGTTGGGCAGGCATGCGTGAGACAGGGGGAGGAAACCCCTTCCGAGGCTACCCGAACGTGGCAGTTTCTTTTCCCGCTCAAATCTGTCACATCGTCGTGCGTCCAGATGCATGTGGTCAGGCCGGGCAATTGCTTGACATTTTGACCCGCATGCGATTTCGGGGACGTGAGAGGGCCTCGTCCAGCTCGTCCGCGACACTAGCGCAATACATGCTGACCAATGAAAAAATATAGTAAAAGTCGTTTTAGGGCGACACGCGTTTGTGACACTGTACGTTCTATGCTGTTTTTACGCATCCCAATAGGTTTGAGACACAAATGTCGACACAGGATGTACACTTTCTACAATGGCTACATATAGTACAATCTATCAAACATTATATATATTTCTGTTGTGTAGGCTACAGTGGGTTAGCCTTTAGGGGGTACATTTCACTAGGGTTTCCTACTTGTACTCCAACAACATTCTAGTGCATCACTTCTTGTTTCTGACATGGTATTAAGAGCTTAGGTCTTAGTCCTAGGACCGCTTACCTAAGGGCCCACCGCTAGAAGCGCCCTCGAGCGCCGTATCTATTTAGCGCCCTCGAGCGCCTCTCTCCTAGTGCGCCCTCGTGCGCCTCTCTTCCTCTTGCTGCCCGTGCGCAGCTCGCTAGTGCCGCGCACAGCCCTTTTTTTTTAGCGCGCGTAGCCCGCTAGCAGCCTGCGCGCGACCTTTTTCTGAGCACGGGCCAATCCCTAGCCGCCCGCGCGATCGGCACCGCCCACGAACAGCCACTAGCCGCCCGTCGACCGCCGCCCAGAGCGTCACAGCCCCGCACGTAGGCCGCCGCGACGCCACCTATAGGCCGCCGCCCGCACGCTAGTCAGGCCCACGCACAGCCACGGCCCGCCCGCTACAGCCGCCCACGCGCACGCCCCCCGTCGTGCACCGCCGCGTAGCCCAGCTCGAGCCGAGCCGCGCCGCCCGAACCGAGCCGCGCCGCCCGAACCAAGTCGCACCGCCCTGGCCGAGCCGCGCCGCCCTGGCCGAGCCGCGCCGCCCTACTGTGCCCCACCTGCAGCAACTCTTGTTCCTGTTCCTGCCGTACTACATCTTCAGCTGCAACTGTTACTGCTACTACTGCTACTGTTCCTACTACTGCTAGTGCCACTATGGCCACTCCCTCTATTCTCACCTTTGATGCTGAGGGCCGTCCGATTAAGTTTGAAGTTTGGTTAGATGACCTCCACCTGTTCCTCCAGATCACTGCCAAGGACGATGTCTCCCTGTATGACCGCACGTCAGGCGCCGCTCCCGCCCTCGCAAGGGTCCGGTCCTTGCGACCTCCACCACTGCCCTCCCTTGTCCTGCTGTCCTGTCTGGCACGCTGTCAGGCCTCTACCTCCCCTCGTTCTCTACGAACTTGGTGGCGGGTTCCGCGCTCCATGACGCGGGTGTTTACTAGTTCACCCCGGCCTACGAGCATGTGACGCACTGCACGTGCGCCCGGACGGGTCGTCACCTGGCTACCTTCACTCGGCAGCTGGGGTCAGACTTGTACACACTGACCACTAAGTCCCCTCAGGTAGCTGCGTCTGCGTCTCCGTCTACGTCAGGTCAGATGTCGCCCCCCTGCTCATGTCGCTCCCTGTCACACAGAACTGTCCTCTGGCACCACTGCCTTGGTCACCCGTCAGTGCAGCGCCTTCGCGGCATGCACTCCAGTTACCTTGTCTCTGGTCTTCCGAGAGTTCTCCCTCCCCTGCCACTCTCGCCTGCTCCTCCCTATCTTCCCTGTGTTGAGGGGCGGCAGCGCGCCGCTCCTCACTCTTCCTCGTTCCCTCCCACAGAGGCTCATCTGCAGACTCTCCACCTAGACGTGTGGGGCCCCGCCCGCGTCCGAGGACAGGGCCACGAGCGGTACTTTCTGCTGGTCGTCGACGACTACACGCGCTACACCACAGTCTTCCCCTTGCGTACCAAGGGTGAGGTCCCTGATGTCTCGATCCCCTAGATCCGCGCTGCTTGTCTCCAGCTCCGCGAGCGGTTCCAGTCGGACTTTCCTGTCCTACGTCTGCACTCTGACAGAGGTGGTGAGTTTTCCTCTGACCTCTTGGCAGCCTACTGTGCGGAGCACGGCATTTGCCAGACGTTCACTCTCCTGTCCTCTCCTCAGCAGAATGGGGTTGCTGAGCGCCGCATTGGTCTTGTCATGGAGGTCGCTCGTACCTCCATGATCCATGCGGCTGCCCCCCATTTCCTGTGGCCGTTTGCAGTGCAGTACGCCGCGCATCAGCTCAACCTCTGGCCCCATGTCTCTGTTCCGAAGACCTCGCCTACCCTGCGTTGGACGGGGGAGGTTGGCAATGCGTCCGTGTTCCGAGTCTGGGGATGTCGAGCCTTTGTACTCAATACGTCCGCGGACAAGCTCTCCTCCCGTGCCGTTCCCTGTGTCTTCCTTGGCTTTGTCCCTGACGCGCCTGGCTGGCAGTTGTCAGAACATTATAGCTTATACATTTGTGTAGGCTGTAGTGGGGTAGCCCATAAGGGGTACAACCCAATTAGGGTTAGTACTTGTACCCATTCATTCCATTCTCACTTCTCGTCATGGTATCGAGCAGGTTCCCGAGTGGGAATACTGCCTCGGGCCCACCACGAACTTTTTTCCTTCCCTGCCCGGAGCGCGCTTCGCTCCTAACCAGACTAGCGCCTCGAGCCGCCTTAGTGGCCCTTGTTGGCCGCACTTACTGCCCCTCGAGCCGCCCTCTACGCCCTCGCTTAGGCCTCTTACGGCCACGTAGCGGCCCCGCTTAGGCCCCTCACGGCCGCGTCGCGGCTCCGCTTAGGCCCCTTATGGCCCCGTAGCGGCCGCGCTTAGGCCCCTTACGGCCTCATCGCGGCCCCGCTTAGGCCCCTCCGCGGCCCCGTCGTGACCCTTACGGCCCCTCTACGGCCCCGTCTGACCCCTTACGGCCCCGCTACGGCCCTACTACGGCCCCGCTACGGCCCCGCTACGACCCCGCTACGGCCCCACTTTGACCCCGCTACGGCCCCTCTTAGGCCTCGCTACGGCCCCGCTACGGCCCCCCCTTTACGGCCCCGTCGCCACCTGCGGCCCCGTCGCCACCTGCGGCCCCGTCGCCACCTGCGGCCCCGCCCACTGCGGCCCCGTCGCCCACTGCGGCCCCGCCCACCCTTGCGGCCCGCCGCCACCTTTAGGCCCCGCCGCCACCTACGGCCTCGCCACCACATGCGACCCCGCCGCCCAGCGGCCGCAGCGCCGAGCAGCCGAACAGCCAGCCAGCTGAGCCGCCCGACCGCCCGAGCCGCCCATCAACCGAGCCGCCCGACCGCCAAGCCGCCCACCAACCGAGCCGCCCAGCAGCCAAGCCGCCCAGCAGCCAAGCCACCCGTCAGCCGAGCCGCCCAGCACCGTGCTCGGCCGCCCGGTAGCCAAGCCGCCCAGCAGCCGAACCGCCCAGCAGCCAAGCCGCCCAGCAGCCAAGCCACCCGACAGCCGAGCCGCCCAGCACCGAGCCCAGCAGAGTGGGCTCTTACCAGGCAGGTTTGGCGATCGGGCTGCTCGGCGTCTCGGCTGTCGGGCGGCTCGGCTGCAGGGCGGCTCGGCTGCTGGGCGGTTCGGCTGGTGGGCGGCTTGGCTACCAGGCGGCTCGGGTGCTGGGCGGCTCGGCTGCCTGGCGGCTCGGTTGCTGGGCGGCTCGGCTGTCAAGCGGCTCGGGTGCTGGGCGGCTCGGCTACCTAGCGGCTCGGTTGCTGGGCGGCTCGGGCGGTCAGGCAGCTTAGCTGCTCGGCGCTGCGGGCGCTGGGCGGCGGGGTTGCAGATGGCGGCTGGCCGCAAGGGTGGGCGGGGCCACGGTGGCGACGGGACGGGGCCGTAGCAGAGGCCTAAGAGGGGCCGTAGCGGGGCCGACGGGGCCGTAGCGGGGCCGACGTGGGGCCTAAGTGGGGCCAAAGAGGCCGAAGCGAGGCCTAAGCGGGGCCGTAGCGGGGCCGACGGGGCCGTAGCGGGGCCGACGGGGCCTAAGCGGGGCCGAAGCGAGGCTGTAGCGGGGCCTAAGCGGGGCCGACGGGGCCGTTGCGGGGCCGACGGGGCCGACGGGGCCTAAGTGGGGCCGACGGGGCCGTAGCGGGGCCGTAGCGGGACCGTAGAGGGGCCTAAGCGGGGCCGGCGGGGCCTAAGTGGGGCCGACGAGGCCTTAGCGGGGCCGATGGGGCCTACGAGGGGCCGACGGGGCCTAAGCGGGGCCGACGGGGCCTAAGCGGGGCCAACGGGGCCGTCGCGGGGCCGTAGCTGGGCCGTAGCGAGGCCTAAGCGGGGTTGACGGGGCCTAAGCGGGGCCGACGGGGCCTAAGCGGGGCCGACGGGGCCGTAGCGGAGCCGTAGCGGTGGCCGTAGTGAGGCCTAAGCGGGGCCGACGAGGCCGTAGCAGGGCCAACGGGGCCTAAGCGGGGCCGATGGGGCCGTAGCGAGGCCATAGTGGGGCCTAAGCGGGGCCGACAGGGCCGTAGCGGGGCCGAAGCGGGGCCGTAACGGGGCCGACGGGGCAGTAGCGGGGCCGTAGTTAGCGGCTCAAGGGGCAGTATGGGCGGCCAAAAGGGGGGCCACTAAGGTGGCTCGGGGCCCTACTCGGGTTAGGAGCTAGGCGCGCTCCGGGCAGAGAAGGAAAAAGGTACGTGGTGGGCCCTAGGCAGTATTCCCACTCGGGAACCTGCTCGATACCATGACGAGAAGTGAGAATGGATAAATGAACTACGAAACAGTTGGGTACCAGTAATAACCCTGATTGGGTTGTACCCCATATGCTCTACCCCACCACATCCTACACAAATGTATAAGCTATAATGTTCTGACAACCCTGTCCCCTCAACAGCTTCGTGAGTGGTACACTGCGCGCCAGCGCGGTGGGGGTTTCGGTCCCTGCTCTTACGTCCTCCATACCGGTGACCGCACTGGTGAGCAGTGCGGAGGCCCGCACTCCACCCAGCGATGCTTTGGTCGCCTGACAAACGCGTGGCGTCGCCAGTTCCCTGAGGCGTCAGAGATCCCTCGCTGGGGAGATCAGGCTAAGGCCGGGGTTGCAATCTTTGATCTTGACATTGATGCTATTCTTGCTGCCATGTATGTTGTTGCTGATAGTGTTGAGGGTGCCTGTTACCTGTGTGTACCGCCTGACCCGGGCATAAAGCTGCTGCGCTAGGTGCTGGTGA